AGACTAGACCTTCTCAAGAGAAACCTCCAAGCTGAGAGTTCTCTGTGTCTATGACATTTTCATTGGCAAAAATGTGCTGGATGATTCCAGTTATCACAATACTGCACAAAGACAGATATCCTGTAAGTACTCAGGCTCCAGAATGTCTAGCTTGTAGATAGTTTCAAGCACTACCTGAGAAATAATGCTCAGAAATGAACAAAGAATAAGCGCCATGCATTCTTTATGGTTTGCATCATCAGGCAAACAGACATATCTTACACCATAATTACTAAACCATATTGTTTAAAAATTCAAGATTAGGAAAAAGTACTTGAAATATTGCAATCTCAATTTTAGGGGCCATGACTGTGCAAAACTAATCCACATTAGTATCATGTTAGTTGTACTATCTCATACTACACTTGCATATGCTACAAAAAGGATTTAACAGCCTATACCAGAGACTTAGGACTTCTGACCAGCATCAAAACACAAGGCATTGAAATCCTCTGAGAAATATTGTGCTTGTGTTATTTCTATCACAAGTAAAAGCAAATGTGACTGTCAGAAATGCTTTGGGGACAATAATCGCTTTTCACAAAGTGATCGTCAGGATTTCAAAATCTTGTTAGGTTCCAAGAGTTAAAATATCCTGTTAAATACCTGCTGTGCATTTAAAACCATCCCCAAGTTTGAAGTTTTTAGCTGTCCCTTTGAATTCAAACTAAAGATCTTCAAGTAGTTCAGCACTGTAGTGATTACTGTTAATATTCCATAAAGGACTCCCTCCCTGTGGTAGTGTACAGTAGAAATGATGAAATGTAAGGGTATTCAGTATTCTTTCCCTACTACTGGACCACTAATAAAGAGCATGTATTTATATTTGCTCTTAGATTCCAAGGTGTTTTGGAGAAGACAAACCAAAGTAATTATACTAACAACACTATCTTTTTTTCAACTGAAAATCACTATCAAAGGAAGGTAGAAGTCTAGGTGGTACTGTCTTTCATTCTCAGATAAGGAAACTGGGTCATGGGGAGCTAAGTGCCTTGGTCAAAGACACCTGCAAACTTTATCTGTCAGCTCTGCTGACAACTATAATGCTTTTGTTTATATGTACAAGCACATATATCTTTGTATTGCTGTAAGGATAAGTCATTCATTTCCGTATTAGCTCAGCTTAAAAGTAGCTGTGAGAAACATGGTCTTTTCTTTTACACAGATGTGTAAAATGTCCCATGAAATAGAAATACTATTTGACTGAATGTAGTGACACATCAAAGCAAGTAGCATAAAGTCTTGTGCATAATAAGCAAAACTTCTGGGTCAGTGGAGAAAAGCCTTTGGCAAAGGGATTGAAATCAACGACTATATGTTGATGGGGAGATTAGAGAGTTTCTCTTGCATAAGAAACAATGGCTAAACATTATATGACTTGAAAAGTTCCTCTATTAAAATACAAAACTGTGTTCTCTTATTTTCACAGCTGAATATATCCCAGAGTTAGCTGCTGCTTCATATTCTAATACTTGAGATTTCACGACGTTTTTTTGATAAATGTTAGAAAATTAGTTTGATATTTTTATAAACCCATTCCAGTATGTTTAGAGATAGTATATGATCCATAGCCTCCACATCTTACTGTGCTTCTGGACATCTTTAGTCGTGAAACTGTTTAACCAACACAAGAAATAAGGCTGGAAGATCACTGATTTTACAAATTATTTTTATTACAGTGAGATCTGTTTATGAGGCACACATGCTATCATCTCTCTGTTCTAGTGTCCTAAAATAAATGCTGTGGTCATCTCCATATTCATTCACAAATCTGAATGAATAGATTTTTTAAAATCCCAACTTTCACTTTACCGTACTTTATGAACTTGGATAGGAATCTAAGGTTCACAAGGAATGCAGAATTAAGATATGGTATGTTTTTAGTAAGGTACATAGAGAGCAGCCTCTTCCTTTGGATTTCACTGTTATTTTTCTGCATAAAGTCTTATTTTCCATGACACAAAATTAACTCTTTTGGTGTTTATTTCTATCTTCTTGCCTGTAGGCATTAAACTCTAATGCAGTTTGGTTGTACAATCCTTTATATGTGAGATGTTATATGTGGGTTATAAAACATATGAACTGTAGCATTCAGAAATACCATATTTTGGGTCAGGTATAGAGCAGTGTGTATATGCATTGAAATTTATCTATATCTACATAATCTATATATATATCTATATCTATATCTATATCTACATATACTTGCCACATACATATGTGTACATGTAAATATGCATGCACCACCCATGGGAAAAAGCTCAGTTAGGAATTACCTCTTCTTTCTAAAGAAGGATTACTGCTCAGTGCTAAGGAATGTAACAGTCCTATTCGTAGCAATTTCTGACACAGCGTTTAGTATAACCATACACAGACATAACAAGCAAAAGAACTGGAAAATATTTGTGTAGTTATTAAGTGCTAATAAAGCTGATAAGCAGCACAACTGCCACAGACATTACACAACATGGAGTAGTGAGGTCTGTTTATAAAGGATGTGGTTTGCATGAGTCGGAGTAGAATTTTTTTAAGGGATAGCATTACTCAGCAAGTTTCATATGTTGGAGTCAACTCTTTCATTTCTCTGGGGGTTTTAGATGCTAAATTTTAGCTTGTCATATGGAGTATATAATTCATGTTTGTTTTTTAAATTAGGGAAAGGACATCTTTTGGAGAAAGAAAAGGCATAATAATAATAATAAAAGCAATAATAAGGATGCTGTGAACTCTTTAATTTCTGTAGTTGAAAATAATTTAGAAATGTAATTTGTCCCATGGCAGATGAACTATTAAAAACAACCCTTCAACTAAGTAGATGGAAAAGGAGAAAAGGAAAGAATAACAAGTTGCTCAATCAACTTTGCCACCAAAAAAAAAAAAATTATCAGGCTGCAGTCTCCAGCCTTGCTCCATGGTGCACTGAAGACAGTTTTTGGACTCTCAGAATGTTGTTGCCACTTGACACAAATCACTGTAGACAGCAACCATGTTTTGCCAAGTGTTTCCGCTTGGAAACACTTGGATCATGGGACAGAGCATGTTACCGCTTGCTCTGGTGAGTTCTTGCTTTCTCCTTCCTCTTTATCATTGTGTGAGCACAGAACCAAGGCCTGGGCATTTCAACATTCCATATCCTCTCGGCTGTGCTGTTCCATGTTCTCACCACGCCCTGGCTGTCACGCCTGTGCCGGTCCTGTCCCTGTCCCTGGCCATTGCTGGGCCTGGCAGCCGTCCCTCGAGCTCAGCCAGCGCCCGTGCTGCAGGAGCGCTGCTGGGGAATGGCTTCTCTGTAGCCCTGCCAGAATTGCTGGAATTCTGGCCCATCCTGGTGGCTCTCCTCAGCCCCAAGCCCCACACCACATCTGAGGTGGTGCCATGAGCTCATTATGCTCAAGGTTCATTCCCATGTTCCCCCCTTGCCCCAGGTCTCGCTCCTTTGTCCCTGCCTGGCCCCTGGAACCCTGCCCTGCCAGCTGCCTTCTTACCACGCCTGGCTCAAATCATCCTCCCAGCCCCTAAGCTTTACCCCACCATAGTCACTCTGCTTCCAAAACAGCACGAGGTCACAGCTCCTCAGTGCTGCCCTGCCTGTCCTTCCATCTCTCTCAGCCCAAAGCTCTGTGCTGCACCCACACTTGTACCACACCTCCTACCAGCACTCCAGATTCCCTCTCCCATCTGCCTTTCCACAAACTGTGAGCTCAGTCCCACTGTCCTATTTCACCACTGCTTGGTGGCACATAAAAACTCAACACAGATACTGTCCAAACCTCACTAATTTGTGGCTTATTCTCTTAAGATGAACACTGAATTTATGCTTTACTGAGTGTAGAAAACTTCCCTTTTTTTCCTGTCTGCTTAAGTAAGTGAAAGTGTGAAGAATGAAGTCCTTTCTAGTGTCATCTAGATTTGACATCATAACCAAGAGAGTTCTCATATACTATCTAAGCACATATGTTTTTGATCATCTGAAGAAAACAGAAGCATCTTTATTTCTGGCAACAGGATCTCATCTTGTTTTGACATGTCCCTATATTGCTTTAAATTAATTATTTAAAATTAACATTATTGGGGTTTGAAGTGCAGTTCCAGTAGTGTCTGGATCCTTCTTAATAAATAGCTACAGTTAGAGTCTTAAAACTCAGATGCAAATCCACATCTCATTCAAACTCTGAGACTCAGTTGGCAGAGGAGAGTTTCAGTTAAGTTTTAGACTATACAGACTTTAAGAGACAGTACATAAAATATCTTTATTTTCCAAAAACATACCTGGATTGAACGTTTCAACTTTACTTAGTGTTTTATTAGTGCATTGAGAACATTTTCTTATTAACACAATTATTTAATGAACATTTAACTCTTATAATACTTGGGCTTCAAGCATACTAAAACAATGTAGATTCACGTCAACTCACCCAGTAATGCAAGAATCTGAATGGAGAACAACATCACTGAAATGTATTTCCACCACAGTGAAATATTGACATTTTCATAGAGTTCTGGATAAAATGAGAACCAGAATGCCAAAGTACTGTACTTTGATATCATCAGAAAAAATCCCCCCACATTGAAATATTCATGATTCTAAAACATTAATATCTATTTGCTTATATTTCAAATTGATTCAGTATGATCAGTATTTCTTTCAATTTCTTGAAGGAGATGGTGTTTGAGGAGTTTTCATGTCCCCATTTCCTGCATTGTGTAGTAAAACATTTCAGTAAAAAACTTATTAAAATGGAGCACGAAGATTTCAAAGGGCATCATCCTTTGATGATGATGTTTCACTTGTTTCAGCAAGTTTCATCAGTTGCATCCTGCAAAAAACAGCACTGGCTCCAATGCCAGGGATGAATCTGCAGCATCTGCGGTGATACTGAGTTCCAGCAGGACTGGTTATAAACATGTGTAGTTTGGAAAGACAAGATAAATACAACCTCTCAGAATCCAGCATTACTTACATATGGTTCCTCAAGCCTCGCTTCTCATACTGTGGTCAGATAGCAATGTCCTGCAAATGGCAAAGCAGATAATGGTTGTGATCATCCTTCGTGTGTGTCTGAAAAGAGGGCACATCTTGTGTTAGCACCACCTCCCCCATCTGAGACATCTTCCATGTCTGGTTGAGTTAGTCAAGTCAGTGACTCAATATTGCTATGAATTTTTCTGGGCTCCATACATAACGTGATATAAATATTTTGTATTTACTGCTACTAATCATTCATCAAATTGTTGTTTTTGGCAGTAATGGTCTCATCAGAGGAATAAACACTTTCATTAAATTGAAAAAGGCTGGATTCAGTATTATAAATGAAGGAGAGTTAATTATGTCTCTTGTTTCCACTTTTATGGGTTTACTTTATGTTAATTTGAAGCCATCATCAGGGAAGACTGTTTGGAGCAGCTGCCCCCTAAAGTATACACTTTAGAGATGATTGTTAAGTAAATATTTTGTAATGCAAAGATACTGCATAGTTCCTTCCTGCATTGTTTACAGACTTTCAGCTCCATTGACTTCAGAAATTTTTACACTGTTTTCTACATTAGTCAACGGCTAACTGACAGAGAAAGATGATTACTGACAATTCTGGGAATAGAATAGCCCTGTAACAGCAAATAGTAGAATAGGAAGGAAAAAGATCAGTAGGCTAATTCTATGGACCATAAATAATCCATAGTACAATCACAGAATAACATTTTTAATACCAAAGAGATATCCTGCAAAAGTGCCAAATCCTTGATCAGATCACCTTGGTCAACACTGATCCACATTCAACTGTTTACATCCGGCATCCTCTTAAAGCCTTAGAACAGAACAAGTGCAGCAAATACATTTTATACAGTTTGGAAAATGTATGCTCAGATTGCCTGCAGTTACTAGATTTTGGACCAGATGCTACATTTTCAAAGCACAATGGCTTAGAGGAGCTGGAGCATGATGAATTCTTTCTGTTCCCTTCCAGAGAAAAAGTCAGGTCCTGAAATATATTCTGGGGCCCCTTGTCTGTCTCATAAGGACCCCTGTAACACAGCAAATATTGGTCTTGTGCATCACTGCAGGGATGAACACACTAGCACACTGTTTAGTCTAGATTGATGTTGGCTCCCTTTTCTGGTAAGGTGGCTGCTTGACTGCAATGGGGAAAAGCCATTATGCAACCCACTACTACTTGGTGTTTAAAGGGAGATAAATGACTTCTAATTGTACACTGTTATTTATTGCTTTAGAGTACTACAGCTTAGCTGTTCTACACACATTAATGAAACATACAGAGAATATAGACAATGTGACTTTTGAGCCTGTAGGAGCCTGTGTCTGCTAGGAAGCACTGACACAACTCTGCTAGCTGCACATGCTGCTCTATATGTGTGAGATGGACAGAGGAATAATCTTTTTGCAGTAATTTTGCATTCTGCGGTTTTGCTGACCTGCAGTGGTGCCTCTCAGTAACAGGCTGATTACTGCCTGCCTAGGGTTCAGCTTGAAGTACAGGCATGCACACAAGATTTATTTTTAATACTTTACTACTCATATTTGTCCACTTGAACTCCTATTACAACAGGCTTCAGCCAATTTTAATTTTTATAGAAGTTCAAGCCTGGCAGTTCCAGAGACATCTTCTGTCTGTCCAATAGGCTGTAACTACAGGGCTGCTTCAATTTAGACTACCTGAACTCTGCAAGCCCCATTTGATGGGGCTGTGAATCAGAGTGAGTCAGTCTCTAACACTCATTTTTCCTTTATCTACTTTTAATTTGTTTTCTCTTTTTAAATATTGGTGTAATGAGCTAAAAAAAGATTAAATAAAAAACAAAAGGAGTATATTAGAGATTGAAAAGTGAAGCTGTTGCATATTCTATTTTCTGTCATTATTATATTGCTTCCTTTCAGAATGAAACCATGTAATGACTCTGTCCATCTTTCATTGTGCCCAGGCCACTCATTTCTATGAATCAGAGCACAGACGGATAATTTTGCATTGTCCGCTCATCTGTCCATTGTCTGCTCATATGTCCACCCCTCCTTACTGCTCTTTAGCTGTTCACATTCATGCTGAAAGTTCACAATATTGTGATCTAACAATTCACATTTCAGTTTAGAAAACTGTACAAGGTACATGTGGCCATCTGGTAACCAGCTAGTTTGTCATGTTTGCTTTCAGGAATGCCCTGTAACTCTAAATATCCAGTCATCTGTAACCTCACAGAGCCATTACTTTCAGGTCAAATGTATTGTCCCAGCATGCTTGCAAACAGGCCTATATATCCCTGGAAAAGATGCTGGCAAATAGGTCTGAGTCAAAATAAATCTAGGCATCAGTTATTAGGTTTAATATAGTTTTAAACTATCAGTTATTCAACTATTTGTAACTCTTAGACCTGGTCATCAGTGAAGGGAAAAAAGTTTAAAAATTTTTATTAGTTGAAAAAGACAACATAAAAATTAAAATAGAAATTAGCCAGTGTCATTGCATAAACAGAAGAAAGAGCTGAATCATTCATAGGAATTATTATTCAATTAGTTTAATTTTAGGAGGAAAATGTACACGCAGTAAGTACTGTAACAGAGGGTGACTTACCATGTTACCATGTGCTCTGAGAACATCAAAGCCCGGATGGCATCAGTAACTAACAGCATGGCTGATTCAAAGTCCCAGAACAAAGAGGCACAAACCACAGAAAACAGGGACACTGACGCTCTTCTTCCTTCCCTGGAGACATCCAGGCATGAAGTGTGACAGCTGCAGAATTAATTTGTTGAGGCATCAGGAAGGGCAGCAAATATTAGCAACAAGAGTATGTTCTTCTACATCTCTCTTTCTCCTTTATCACAATGAGAAATGACAGATGAGAATCAAATTCAATACCTGCTTTTTGTTTTGTCCCCAAACCTTACTGTTCCATTGCTCAATATTTCCTAATCCTTCTGAATGCTTTTTAATAGACAGGGAGGATTTACTCCCATTTCTATATTTTGCCACTGAAATAATGACTAGGAGTGAGACTCATGAGATTTCTGAATTCATTCTTTTTATAATATTCATTCTTACTTATAAGTAAGAACAAAGAAAAATCACAGGAGATTGAGAAACTTTACTCTCTATACTTCTAAAGGCTGTTTTCTCCCTGAAGGCTCAAGCACTTAATATCATTGTCCTGAGGCATATCTCTCCTCTCTCTCCCTCCTTAACTTTTCTGTTGCAGGAGCTTTTGCTTCTGACCATGGAACTTTTCAGATATCAGTTGTTTTGTTTTCTGTCTCACTATATTTTCAATACTACACCTAGCACTCTTTGCCACATAATATATAGAGATGGAATCTAAAGAAAAATGGACAACTGCATAAAAAATTATCCTCTTTAGCCGCTATTAAAAAGCTACTTCACTGATCACTAGTAGACAGGAAGTGATATTTACACATGGGGATTTCTAAATTTTAATAACTTGCAACAAACTTGAGTATGAGCAACAAGGAACTTCCTTCCAGTTACCAAAGTTACAGATACGTACAAAAATCCAAGTTGTTGTAGAATAATGAAATACCAGCATTGGGTTCTCATGGAAAAGCCTGAAAAGCAAGTTGCAACATGAAAGACGTGACTAGTGGCTTGATTTACAAACATATCTGCCGAAGAGTTTTTAAAATAAGGTATAAAGGAACACAGTACCATGTTTGGAAATTAAGTATCCTTACACTTCCAGGTTTAATTAAAGCTGAGCTGAAACACGCAATACAACTTCTTAATATGGATCAGAAAACTTAGAGCTACTTCCAGCAGATCTGATCAGATCTGTTTAACAGGCTACCTCCATGGCATGTGTTGTCCTACAATCACTGAAACACTATTTACTTTGGCCCCCAGTATTTGTTTCATAACCCTCTTAGAAGAAGAGTGATAAGTAATGCAGACCACACATGCTAAAATTCTGAGAGTTACGCCTTTTTCTCTTTTTAAAGTATAAGATACACATTGAATATATACTTCTCTGGGACCAGTGAGAATGGAAATTGCATTATTCTATGGAAAAATGGCATAAAAAAACTATCGTACTTATTGCTGATTTTCAAAATAATTCAAGGAAATCTGGATCCAACTATGACTCCTGATGATGTGGATGTTGAAACTTCTTTGCAGATAGCTAGGTCCTGAGGGAAACATATCACAGTTGAATGTTTTTATTAAGATTACATTATCAAAAATAAAAATACTTTGGTTTTGGTGACTACTACCCCAGTAAAAATGGAATATTTTAATTTTTTTAAATAAATCAGGTGGAAATATACACTGGCCACTAGTTTTAAAATTTCAATAGTCTTGTTACATGAGTACTATCAAAATTACAACTTATATGCAATATATCTATTTTTCTCCTTACACTAGGTGTGGTGCACAGCAGACCACAATCAGATTCATTCAATAAACAAAGCCATGTGTGGCAAAGGCAGCATGCTTTTATGCATAGAATGGAGGGTGCTTTAGGAGATTAGATAAACACAGCTGCTGCCAGTTTACCAAACAAGAGCCAGGACTGAGGCAGGGAGGGCTGAAAATACTTGCTGGACAGCAGAAAGTCAGGCACGGAACAAAGGGAGAACTACCTAAAGGACACATCTCTACATTTAACCCAAACCTCATGTAAATTATACCTGAAAGAATGAGCAAACAAATTTCTACAAATAAGTAATCATACGGGGCCTAGTATGAGTGCAGGTTTCTGGTGTGTCTGGTGAGCTTTCAAATTTTGAGCCATGTCAAGCAGACCACTACAATCCATGGGTTTCTGTGGGTTCAAAGAGAAGCCAAAAAGAGACCCGAATCACCTTTTGCCTCTACCTCTCCTAGAACAGTTACATGCCCAAAGCAATCCATTTCTAAGTAGTTTTTTATATGACATTTATTTTCTGAGCCAAGTGTTGACAGAAAGCTGGATTACTTTTAATTGACTCTAAACAGGGAAACTGAAGCGTAAATTTCACATATCAACAAGGTGAAGAGAAGCAAACTATGAATAAGTGTTTGCATGATTAGCCCATAGATATTTGTTTTGTCTTATTCCTTTACTGGTACACAGGAAGGGCCATGGGAATTCCCAGACACATCCACATCCTTTGGGCTATACGCTTTCCTAGTTAGTGTTATCGGCAACATTATGTTGTGCAAATATGTTACGTGGACAGGAAATTGTTATACTGCCATTGCTCATATCAGTTTGACAACTTCAAATTTTAGTCACTAGAAAGAGGGTCAACATCCTTTTTTCAAAATATCTTTCCTTTTTTAAACATGCAATGATTGCTGCAAAATCTTACTTCCTCAAATAACTGCTCAAAGAAGAAATTTTTACCTTCCATTGAGTGTTTTTGTACCAAATATTGCCGAATGGTTTTCTCCACTGTAATGACACAGAGTTACTGGGACAAATGTTGGGAATAGCTAGTAGAACGCTAACTCTTTTTTACTGCATGGATTCTATCAAAGCACAGTAGCTATCCCATGACTTTACCCATAATGTGACAGACTAGGAATAGCGTTGTTCTATGGTTTAATCACAGCAGATGAGTAACAGCCCGCAGTTTACGTGGAAAGATTAAAATAATCAAAACAGCAACAATATCTAGACATTTATGTACATTTTGCTTTACAGAGGTCTCAGTGTAAGACTGTATCTCACTTTACCTAACACCATGAAAACACTTCACACAATAAGATTGCTTATAACAAACATTATGAACAGAGTGATGAGTTGTTATTGCAGAAGCAGAAATGTTACTTGAAAAGAAGTTTTGAAAGAATGCAGTTCTTTAATCTGAGTAATGGAAAAAAGTTAACTCCAGCCACAGTGCTACAAGATTAGTATTGATCTTCCTACTATTAAAGGAAAACTGTTTCTTTTTTTCACTTTAAATGATTGATGGAAACATTGACACAAAGTGATTACACATTGTATTAAACTATATACTGATACTGGAAGTACCAGCAGGCCAAAGATGAAAGCAGAGTAGGGCTGGCAATGACATGGAGCTCCATGCTTCTGATTTTAGCTAGAAGTTTAGCTCTGCCTCGCTGAACTTGATGCATGTGTGCAGGATAAAATTTTACATAACATGTAACAATACTCTGTATCTTTTCAGATGATGGGAAAAATTTAAATATCATGGAAAGGACTTTAGATTTCAGGATTCTTCTCTCTGAAAAAGTTGTTTATAATATTAGATTCCAAGAATTCTTAATATAGCAGGAATTATTTCTCTAGCTATTTCACATTTAATTAGATTTTGCAGAACTGGACCAGAATTCTTAGCAAATATTTCAGCTATTGCCCTCTTACCCTATAAATAGGTATGCTTCTAAGAATGACTACAGAATTTCTATGAGTTAGAGCTACTCATCTGAGAGAGTGCTGATTCAATGTAACTTTAATGAAGATGAATAAACTGTTTACGTATGTGGTGCCATCTCATAGTCTGTAACACCACCAGTGGCTGCTGGTCCATTACTGCATGCCACTCACTGTTGATTTTTCTTCTCATGACTAATTAAGACAAAACATAAATTGAGCAGGTAATTTATGAGAAGTCTCTGTAAAAAAATGAAGGTAAACCAAAGGTAGTATAAAGAGTAGGTCAGATAAACAACAGACGTCTGTGGGCCATTATCTGACTCAATATGACTGGCCACATACTGATTTTATAGATGTGCTGTTCAGTGTTTGGAGAGCAGATTGATGATTCTTTGACAAAGGAGCCTATTGGCACTAAGTAAATAGATAATCGCCTTTCCTCCTGCTCTCAACAGGCTGTGCAAAGCAGGGTGCTCAGTATTCCCTTTTCAGGCAATGAAGATATTTAAGTCTTTTTAATGTGTGTTGCAGTGGATCTTCGGATCCTGTCTAGTTGTACAAAATGTATGGAGAAGCACATTATTGCCCATGAAGAGCCTTTCCCTGGACCTCTTCACTAAAATTATGATTATTCTCATGTAAAGTAATTGCAGTAATTTGCCACACTGTGCAGTGAATACAATAAAATCTACAAATGGGCTACTAACTTGAGCAGATTCTGTGCTGGCTGCCTGTGTGGTTGTTGGGAGCACTACATTTGAATAAACTAGATGGTCTAATGCCTTCTCTAAATAAAACCTGTGTTATTTTAAGGAAGAAAAAGCAGAATAATATATGCTGCTGCTCCAGCCTCACTAGACATTGGCAGGCTTTTTTAAAAAAAGACACCTAATTAACACAGAGAGAATTGTACGTGCTGTCAAACCTCTGTACAATAAACATCTAGACGCAATAAATCCATTATATTAGGCTGTTTCCACTAGAGGAACCAGTGAAAAGCAGTGCTCGGAAAGTCCAAAACGAAAAGCAACAACAAATGGCCATCAGGCCTCTTAGCAGGCACTGGCTTTGCCGTGAGGAGCTGGAGGGCGCAGCTGGCAGAGCTGCCCGACAGTGACATCCAGCGGGAGACGCGCGGGCAGCCGCTCCTGCTGCCCTCGCGGCTCTTTGAAAGCCCTACACTCCAAGCCGTCTCTCTGGATTCAACACCATTCTTTTTCTCTGGCAGACACTCAGTAGCTGGTTCCACTTATGTAAATTGTCCTTACAAGAACTAAACTATCAGTGAAGCATCTTGTGCTTTCAGAAA